GGCTCCTTTCAGAGCTCATATCTACAGAGTGGAGCGGCTGCCCAAATCTTCTGGGAAGGATGAAGGGGCACAGTGGCCACGGGCTTCCTTCCTTCCTTTGCTCCTGAGAAAAGGTAGTCCCAGTGCGGCCTTGCAACTCTGGATCATATTTACATGTATTTTGTTTTGTTTGTTTTCAAGACAGGGTTTCTCTGTGGCTTTGGAGGCTCTCTGGAACAGCTCTTGTAGACCAGGCTGGTTTCGAATTCACAGAGATCCACCTGCCTCTGCCTCCTAAGTGCTGGGATTAAAGGTGTGCACCATCAATGCCTGATGTATTTTGATTTTTAAAATTACATTTGAGCACATGGGAGGCAAAGGCAGGCCGATCTCTGTGAGTTTGAGACCAGCCTGGTTTACACAGTGAGATCCAGGTTAGTCAGGGCTACACAATGAGATTCTGTCTCAACAACAAAATTGTTTGTTTGTATGTATGTGTGGGGAGCATGCCACTTTGTAGGCATGGAGGCAAAGGACAATTTGTAGGACTCAATCCTCTCCTTCTATCATGTGGGTTCTAGGGATGAACTCAGGTCTTTAGGCTAGGTGGCAGGGACCTCTACCTACTGAACCATTCTGAGATGGGATCTTGCTGTGCTGCCCAGGATTTTCTTGAACTCCTCCTGAATTTTAAAGGCTCCTCTTGCTTCAACTTTCTGAGTAACTAAGCTCATGGACAGTCTAGTAGCACAGGTTCCTGACCTCATTTACTTGCTTATTTTAAAAGATGTATTTATGTGTTTATGTCCGTCCATCACAAGCCTGTTGTGCCTGCAGAGGCCAGAAGAGGGACTGGAGTTACAGAAGGTTGGGAACTGCCACATATGTGGGTGCTGGGAATGGAACCTAGGTCCTCTGGAAAAGCAGCTGTCAGTGCTCTAACCACCTCAACAGCCCTTCACACCTTTTTTTCCTTTGGTGTTTCAAGACAGGGTTTCTCTGTAGCTTTGGAGCCTATCCTGGCACTCGCTCTGTAGACCAGGCTGGTCTTGAACTCACAGAGATCTGCCTGCCTCTGCCTCCCGAGTGCTGGGACTAAAGGTGTGAGCCACCAACACCCGGCCCACACTGGCTGTTTTTATGAAAAGTTTTATCAGAACACAGAGCTCACACATTTGTATGCCATAACACACACACACACACACACACACACACACCACACACACACACACCACTCACACACACCACACACCACACACACACCACACACACACCACCCACACACACACCACACACACACACCCACCACCCC